GCTAAGTTATAGGTTTAATTGGATTTGCCCCATCTCTTCATGTTGGCTGCCAGTTGTGTTCCTTCTATTCTCATCCTTTCTCTGTTTGTGTTCAGAGTGGTGTAATCAGTTCTAGTCAGTCATACTTCTCCCAAAATAATGCTATTTATACTGTGCAAGTCATATAGTAGTCCAAAGTAATTATTACAGTTTCTGTGCTTCCCTAGAAATAGATTCAAACTCAGATCTGATCTCTCTTCAGCCATCTCCGGAACGTCTGCACTACCACAGGCATGGTGAAATTTGCCAAATTCTCATCTCCTGCATTGTGTGGCCACAAAAAATATAAGTGTGAGGGAGAAGGGGAGGGAGGGCTTAGTTTATGAAGAAAGAGGATACTTGGGTCATTCACTGCAAGCATTGTAAGTAATTGGCTTTAGATTTGTTTTGTTCTGGGGAGATTTTAATTAACTTTTTTTTTGTATGCTGTTTAATAAACATTGGTCCATAAACAGTATCTTGTGATCCCCATCAGTAAAGCAGGTGGATTAATTTGCATGTTTGTAATTTATTTAAATAGCCACAGCATTATATGGAGTGCTCTGCTAAGACAGTGGTGATGAGTCTCTGCACTGAAGAGAACAGCATCCAAACATACATGTAGCATTATGATTATTGCTGTATTTTAGGTGGTGGTGTTTGGTTGTTTTTTTAAAACAGTTTGAAGTGGGAGGATATGGAGGAAAATTCTAACAAAAGTAACTGTTATATAAGTTCAGAAGAAGAGCCTGGTACCCATTCTTAAAACCAGTGTCTGAAAGCAGATTACTTGGAAAGAAAATGGAGCAGTCTCAGAGCTTTGGCAGTCAAGGTGTTATTGCCTCTTCAGGTTGCTTGTATTTGTTACTAAGTATCTTTCAGAACAAGGTTTTATTGTCTTCTCTGGGGACTATCTTTTGCAAAGAGGTGAGAACGCAGTCCTGGCTCTATCAGGGCAGATCAAGGCTTCATGCAGCCCTGGATATCCTGCCTCCAGGATGCTTTCATTGCATGCCTGGAGGAGAGTCAGAACAAAGCAAGCCTGTGGTACTTCCCCCAGTGCTCTTCAAGCCTCCAGCTATTTTCACTTCAGGGACTTCCTGAGCCAGATGTGGCTCTATAAATTTGGTAACCCTCAGAGGATGTCTCTTTTGTGAACTTGTCCAGTCTTTGCTTGAGCCCACATAAACTTTCAGCTTTCAAAACATCAATTTGGCAAGGAGTTCTGAACATCTGCTACCTCTGTGACTAGACAACCTGTTTCTCTCTTGTTCTGAAGTTGCTTCTGCTGTTGAATGCATCCTAATTGTTGGTGGACAAGATGCTTTTGTAGCTTTCCACCATGGTCCTACTTCCTGATGTCTTTTCCATCCTCAAAGGGTTATGGATGCTTTTTATGGAAACTGTTCTCTATACCTGTGATGATTCTTATTGCATTTCCCTGAATCTTTTTGTCTGACTCTTCCTAGTAAGTCCAAGAAGTCAGTAGAGGGATTTTCTTTTGCTGTGTTGATGTTTCCTAAATCTCATCTTCATTCTTCTCTGAACAGTCATCAGTGTTACGTAGTCTTAAATTACTCAAATTTCTGACTTTTCTTTTTAAGCCATACTGAAATTCTCACCTACTAAGGCAGCTCCAATTTAGAGACTGTATATGGTCATTAGTGATTCAGCTTTTTGAATTTGATTAGACCTCTGGAGTGATACTTTATGGTTCCAAGCCACTTCTGACTGTTCATTTGTCACTTTATTCCATGAAAAGTCCCATCAGATTCAGAGACATTTATCAAGTCCCTCACAAAGGACTCCAGCATGGGAACACCCCAAGATTTTTCTGCAGTGCACGCTAGAGCCAAAGATTTTGTTAAGCTTCTCTGTGATGGCGTTGTGCTCTCTGTAGCTCCCCTTATACCTTCATCATCATTTGTCACTGCAGACTCTGGCAGACCTCCTACTTCTGATGTGTTTGAAGAAATGAATCATTACTCATTTGATTCCCTTTTCTAGCTGTTCCAACAGTTCTTTCTGGCCTGTCTTATTACATTTGAAGTGCCAGAGTTTACAGTCTTTTCTGTTTTCCTCATTTGGACCTGGCACTGGCTTATTGAAGGGGATGCCTTTTTGCCTCTAGAAAGCTGCAGTGAGCCTTGCTGGTGTCCCTTTGCTCTTATCAAATCTTTCTGAATGGGTGGTGAATATTGTTTCTGTGCTTTCCATGTGGTTATTGTTAAACAGCTTTGATGCTGTCAGTCAGATTTTATTTCTCATAGCTGTCTGAGATTCCTTTTAACAAGCCTTCTCATTTTTTGTGTAGTTACACTTTTTGAAGTTAAGCACGACAGTAGTAGATTCCTTGGGTTTGATTGTTCCTGTAGGGATGCTCAATTTAACTCCTTTATGGTCACGGATGCACAGTGGTTCTGCAGCTGCAGGATGCAGTAGTAGATGATTCTTGCTGCTGTGGACTGAGCCAAAGGCAGTGGCTCCTCATGCAGGCTCCTTAACCAGCAGTTCCATGGAACAACCTTTGAGAATTATCTGATACTTTGGTCTCAGCTTTGTAGTCTGCTTACTCAGTCTGTCTGGGGGGAGTTGAAGTCTCCCCCTAATCAATCTTGCGGCGTGCCTTTTGCTGATCTTGCTAGCGTGCTGCTGTCAGCGTTGTTGTAGTCCAGCCATGCATGGTGGTTCCAGCACTCAATCTTCTTTATCTGACCAAGCTCCAGACCTCTGCTGCGTGGTGAGGTGGAGTTTTATTTTGATTAGTTTTTAAATGCTGTGTATCATACAATGTTACTTTGTTATTAGCTGTCTTCTCCCTGAATTTGTATCCTAGGATGATGCTTACTAGTCATCCCACAATTTTTTTCCTTTCTGCCAAATTTCTTAAATGACTATTAGTAGTGCTTTGTTTGCAATTGATCCAGTCCACCCCTCTTTGTGTAGAACTGCATGTATTGTTAGAATTTTTTATTGCCACTCTACCTACTCTGCAGTCATTTTTCATTCTTTGATTCTTCTCAGCATCTTCATTTGACGTCCCAGAATTTCCATGTCTTCATTTGACATAGCAATGCCACGCTTTTTAACCATGTGTTCTTCTAATCCCCTCTTCATTTTAAAATTTCATTTTCTTGTGCTTTATGTACCAGTGACCTGGCTTCTGTGTTCAGGTGAACTCCAGCTCTCCTATGCAAGTATCTTTATTCAAGAAATATTCTGGTTGCTCTTACATCTGATATTTTGCTTTGTTACCATCTGGTTAACTGGACACTCTTTATTTTTTCTTTTTTTCTAACAGCCCATATTTTGCTGTCTGGTTATCTGTCCTTCCCGGTGTAACTGGAAGCCAGATGCACCACAGCATAGGTTTCTCCTCAGCATTTCATAGGAACCAGTCCAGGCTCTGTGACCTTTGCAGATGATGGGCAAATCACCATGTGGTCCTCTGTCAGATCCCAGACTCCAGCTGTCTGTTTGCCTGATGATATTCCAACACACCCTTTTTAGTTTGCATTATAAAGGCCTCATTTATGCATCATCGGGGAGAGGGTGTTTGTCAGAAAGGGCTGCTTTGGTCACAGAAACATTCAACTGCCTGTGAAATGATGGGGGAAAAAATGGATGTGAAGGCAAAGAGAGCAAGTGCAGGAATGGGGTTATAGTGCTGACCTTAGGAGTAACCAAGAGGTAGGACTGTCAGCTTCTGGCAGAAGTAATAGGAGCAGATCAAGTTGTGATAATAAAAACAACCTAAGCAGGTGTTTAAATTTATGGTGGTATTATTATTATTATTATTATTATTATTATTATTATTATTATTACTATTATTATTACTACTACTACTACATATACTATACATATACAAATACTGTTGAATGAATGTAGTGAATTAACTTTAGGTAGAACAGGTATGTGTTTGCTTGTTGAATAAACAGATTTATCATTGTATCAGAAACTCAGCGGGAACAGTTCAGAGATCAAAGCATTTTGGATGTGCTCAGGTATTTGAAACACTTGCTTGGGGCAAGGATGTGCAGGACCAACTCCATTCTAGAATGGAAAAGTCATGTGCTGCATCTGAAATGATATTAAATTCCAGACTTTGGGGAAAAGCATGGGTACCTAAAATCAAGACAATCTGGGCACAATATCAGGAGTCCATTGAAAGTGTGCTCTTTCAAATACCTCGAGAAAATGTCAGTGTCTATTGAGACAAGGCGTACAGACTAAATCAATGCAGAAAATTTCTCTGACACTGTAATTGACTTGGTTTTGGTTCTAACATTCTCAGTGTGTGCATGTTCTCAGTACACGATACATGTTCCAACTGGTGTGTAACACTTACTTTGTTTTGTTGTTACTTTTTAAAAAAGTAACAACAAAGTGTATCTTAGTAGGGGGGAGAAGACTAAGAGGGATTGAATTTGACAAAACCAAAATCCTGCCAAACCCCAAGACTTTTGTGTAAAGCTTAAATACAAACAATAAAAACCTGAGGATTGTGGGCAAAATATAAAGTTTAAATTAGCACCTGATTGCTAAAGAAAAAAAAAAAAGACAAAAGGCATTTCTCTTTCAATGTCAGTTTAAGAGTTGTGCCTTTTTTCCACAATTCAGCTTTTGGGTCAGCGCATCAGAATGATTCCTGTGTTGATTTGCCTCACTAGTGTTCCCAAGGAGAGCAAATATTTCAAATAACTGGTTCTGTGCTTTAAGGGTGGGCATTACAGAAGTGTGGCATTTTCATCAGAAGCTCTTCCAGGAAAGAGTAATTATGCAGAGCATGGAGCTTACTTCTCCTGCTAAGGCAAGAGGATCTAAGGGCTGCCATTAGCTGCTGAGGGAAGGGGTCAGAGCGCTGGGCCAGGTGTGCAGCCGGGGATGTCACTTCTGCTGAGGTTGCCACGGGTGGGGCATAGCTTGGTTTCACGTCCTTCTGCTTCCACTCATGTGTTTGCTTTGCTTGGCTCTTCCAACAGATCCCACCTCAGTATGGTCAGCAAGGTGTGAGTGGCTACTGCCAGCAGGGCCAGCAGCCGTACTACAACCAGCAGCCGCAGCACCTGCCGCCCCAGGCACAGTACCTGTCGCAGGCCCAGCAGAGGTACCAGGCTCAGCAGGTAAGCGCTGCCCTCCCTGCTGACAGAGACCCTGGGGCTGGAAGGGTAAAAGGAACCCCTGTGCAATGAACAAAACCCATCCCTCACCTTTCTGAGCGAGCAGTGCTCATTAAATAACAATAATTAAGTAGTAAATTGAGCAAAATGAAATAAACGTGGAATCAGACCACGTCTTTCTGAATGGTCTTCAGGATGTATGCCCAAATACATCTGCACACATTTTCAGACTTTATTTCGTACTACCTTTTTAGGGTAAAGCCAGTGTATATGTCCCAGCATCTGTGCTTTTAAAAACAAGTAACAATTTCTTGATGAGATGTCAGTGGATGCTGGAGCTTTTCTTTGCCTTTGTTTTGTTGTTTCCTCACAAGACAGACATTGTTGAGAATTCCTGCATCTAGTGTGGTCACTGCTATTTTGGGTTTTTTGTGGAGGAGTTCAAGGCATTTTGGAGTTGCTTTGTCAAGGGAGCTTCTTAAAAGACATTTTAAATGGATATTGCAACTATTAATTTGAATGTTGTCAGTTTGCACATCAGTTTGCAAACCACATAATCTGTTATCCATTGCTGCTTTTGAATTTTGAAGGCTCTTTATATTAAGCATTAAAATTAATTTCAAGTGATTCTGTTTTTAACCAAGATCAGTAGTGATAATGTATGGGTCTGGTTCCCAGAGCTGGAGAAACTCTTGGATTTTAGATACTGAACAAAATGGATGTGCATAGCTGATGCAGCTGAACATGCAGGCTCAGTTCTGTCTGCAGTCTCAGCTCTGTTAATCATGGAGAGGTGATCTGGAAATGGAAGGATGAAACTAAAGCATACTCACCATCCTGGGAAATCTAACAAAAGTGAGTTGCTCAAGACTGGATATTAGTGGAAGCATCAGCACTTGCTGCAAATCACTGGGGAATTCTGTCAGGCATGGTTGATTAACATTTTGCGATTGTGGTGCAATGTAGAAATCTTAGCCTGAAATAAAAATAGTGCGTAAAATAAACTAACAAAAGATGCTGGAAGTGGCAATGATACTGGAGACTCCCCTCCTTTGACTTTAAAATAAAGCTATGATAATTTCACTGTGTAATTACATGTTAATTTTTCTTCATCTGCATTTTAAAATTCCATTGAGAATTAACTTTTTTCATTAAAATGCTGGATGGTTTATGAAATAGAATTCTTAATTGTATCTATGATATTCTTGTAAATGTCACCACATTCTGTCTTTTGGATTATATGTAACTGCAACTTTAAAGATTGCAGTTGTGTCTTTAAATTTAATTTTCTTCCTTTTTTACTTAGCCATTAAATGCTTGATTTCTCTATGACTTGAAAATACTGTTCATAAGCATCTTGGTGAAGTCTCAGCAGATAAAGACCTAGTAATACGGCCTATAAGATAGAAGAAACACAGCTGCTCTAATGTCTACATATCACAGTGTATGAAATTGAAATGGGTGTTTTGCTGCCTTGGACACCTTGTCATGTTTTAAATATACTGTCAGTTTAATGGATTGAATATTTTGGTTTAAAAAATACACAAAACATTGCAACTTTATAGGCCTTAGGAGTAACAAGGTACTGATTTATCTGTTGATAGGTGTTCCAATTACATCATTTGCTATCATAGCTGGGAAGGAGAAGGTTTGTGCAGTGAAGTGAGAGGGATCATAGAAGGATGAAAGTAAAATTAGAGTAAAGCTTTCCATGTATTTTGAATTTCTGAGAACTAGGATGAAGAGAAAGACAGAGGCAGATTCACAGGCAAAAGATACCAGCCTTGATGTAGCCAAATTCCCCTTTTGAGGATTTGAAGTGACACTGAAGGACAGTCAAAATCCAGGCTCCAAGGCTGATACAAGCATCTTAGGAAGGTCAGTAGGCATTTTTTTGCCTCAGCCTGCAAGATGAGATGATGCATTAGGGCCTCACCAATACAGCCCTGCAGCTGGTAGTCCTTTCTGTGAGAATTTTACCTGAATTCTTGATGGTTTATGAATGACTCTTCTTCGGTAGTGGTCAGCCTCTTAAGGTTTGAACTCTGATCTCAGGTTCTGAAATATATGATAATTTCACTGTGTAGTTGGAGTATTTGTGTGTAGATGGTACTATTTTGTATAAATAATGAGTAGTCCTAAAACACCTTGGGGCTTGCTTCTTTCCCGTTCTCCAGATTGGGTCCATGGCTGCTCTTCCCCCTTTCTCAAGAAGAATGAGCAGGTGAACACTTCTTGTCATGTTTCTCTGTAAAACCTCACCACTGTGTGCTTTCCCTTTCTTTGAGAACTGCTCATCTAGAAAACAATTCCTAACACAAGAAATTGAAATCTATATTTCTGACACTGCAGCAGAAGTGTTCTTTCTCTACTGGTAATGCATAGTAGAATTACCATCAAGTGGTAACCAATGTGGAATACAAAAATTAATACTAAACAAAAACCATAAAAAGTTGGGAACATATGTCAAATTCTGCTGCTGACAAAAAAATTACAAACTGTGCTTACTTAAGCAAACATGTCTCTGCTTATATGAGACTGATTACTTTTGAAAAATAAAGAATTATAATTTATTTGATTAAAGTTTTAGCAAGAGAAATAGGAGTAGGTACTTGTTTAGTTTTAGGAGAGGTACCAGTTTGGGGAGTGTGAATGAGAACAGAGCCAAACTTACCTCAGGGGCACAATGGAAGGACAAGAAGCAATAGGGGCACACTAAGAAGAGGGATGTTGCAACTCTGTAAAAGAAAGAAAGAAAGAAACAAACTCAAAAACTATAAACCCCACAAAATTCCAGAGAGACTGCAATCTCCATCATTGGAGAAATTCAACTAGACAAAGCCCCCAAGCACCCTGTTCTTGCTAGGCTTGCTTTGAGCTGGGGGTTTGCCTATAGGATCTCTCTCTGAAGGTCTCTATATGTGATTGTGTTGCTGTGATTTAAAACTGGCTTTACATTTTCTAAACACAATTTTAAAATAAACTACAGAATCATATATTACCTGTTGCACCAGTTGGTGTATCTTTCTTATTTCTGCTCCTAAAAATATCAGTACATCCTGTTTATATAATCCTGTCAATTAGAAAGATGAGGTAGTTTCAGTCATACAATCTGTCATCCTTTCTGTCTGTCATCCTTAGTTTTGTTCTTTCTTTTCAGCTTGCAAATTAATTTCCTTTGTGTTCTCTATATTGTTCATTAACCTTTTTTTGTCTTTCTATATTGATTTTGTGATGTGAGTGTGATTAAATTGGTTTTACTTCAGGAGGGAGAAGAGAAATGCTAGACTGGGGAAAGAGGGTGTCTCTAATTTGCCTTCTTTTCCTGTCTGTATTTTCTTTATTTCCCTTGTAGATTTATGTCAAGCTACTTGTTTTGGAGATTATAAAGCTGAAAACAGTGTTTATTCTGTCTGGATGATGGACTTTTTCTTTCCACCAGCTTCCTTTTATGTAAAACCTCATAGTGTGATGATCTGGGTATTCTGTTATAGGGAGAAAACTGATGTGAAATTTCTTGCAGATGATGTTTTATTTTTGCTCTTTTAGACACATTGTGAGCAAGCTCCTGAGGTCAGGTATAGCTCTGTGTTGTGCCTTAGAATTGGTGCTCTTCTTCATTTCTCACATATTGTGGAAGTGTGAAGCCATTGCTGTTTTTCTTTGACTCACTTGAATTCAATATGCAATCTTGTCTTATAAAAGTAAACAGATAAAACAATTTCTGGGACTGTTCCAGTGACTTGTGACTTTCATTCTTCTAATAAGCATAGATGGGAAGGAGGAGAATGGGATTTATTTGAATGTTTGAACTGTTAAGTTGTTTAGATCTTTGTTAAATTGATTGCATGGTAGGCAGAAAGAGAGTTTCATAAGAGGTGATTTGATAGTAAAACTGGCACAGTTTACTATAGAACCATATTGTAAGCCAGCATCAGTCATCCCCTCTTCATATCAGGAGCCTGCTGTGTAGAAACCATTAAAGGAAGAGCTTTGTTTTAAGCAAATTTATTGCAGTAGCAGATTCATTGATCATTAGATATTGCCAGTAGATGTAGATACTGCCTTGGTTTTTTGGTTGTTTTTTTTTTTTTTTCTTTAACTTCTTTTTACCTTTACTGCTCTTCAAAAGAAAAAAGAGGAAGAAAGATGTGCTGCACTACTATAGTGTTGCCCTTGGCAGGGCTTTTCATCTTGAAATGGCATATAAATGAATAAATGCTTCGCTTGTTTTTGCGGTTTTAAATCTTTTGCCATAAGTAGAAGTGATATTTTGTTCAAGAATGTCATGTAATTGCAAACTTAAACTGTCATCATTAAACATTATTTTGTTAAGATAGTGTGATGTATATTTTTGGTTATTATGCTTTCCAACTGGCTTGTAAACAGCCATGTTTATATATTTCCTTGCTTTATGTAGCATGTGTTCATATGTATCGAGATAGAATTGTGCCTTTAAGCTTTATTGTGTTATTTTATGAATTGGGACTGTATCAGTTTTTGACAGATGAAATGGATCTGCAAAATACTTATGGTCTCACTCTTAGTTAAACAAAAATAGTGATTTTATTCTACACCTACTGCTGAATGAAGTAATCTTTTGTTTTACACCTTCCTGGAAGCTCTCTGCTTGCAAGTTTCCGGAATAGAATGCTGATCCCTTTTCATACATACGGGTATAAGATTAAATGTGAAAAAAGTGTAGCAGGTCCCTGAGGTGGGGCATGCATATGCCCTTTTCTGGGGCATTGGTTGTTCTGGTTAACTGTGTGCACAAAGAGTTTGTGTGTGTTTGTACATCATTTGTTGTGGTTACTATGGGTTTTTCTAAGTAGTTCAGGCTCACTCTTTAGTCTGCTTTTACTTAAAAGGAGAAAATGTTTATAAACAAGCAAACAAACAGCACTCTCTCACTGTCTCACAGGTTTTATTTAAGTGTTCTAAAAGAAGGCCAAAACCTTGTTTACCCCCCAGAATAATATACCTTACCTACTGATCTTGGC